CCTCTTGCCTGAGAAAAACCAGCCACTCTTGAAGTATGTTTGCAGGGCTAGGAGTGTCAGGAGCCTTCTCTAAATGCCATAATTCAGCTAAATGGAAACAGAAATTAATCATAGTTGACAGGATTAAATAGACTCATTAGAACTCCTCATGTCACTAGAAAAACAACTGTGGTAGATGCTAAAGAAATTGAAGCAAGAGCTTCACAGCCAACTTTCATACTATTAAGGGAGGGGAAATGGGAGTAGGAAAGCAATTAGATTATCAATAGCAAATTCTGCTTTTATCTGAACAAAAGATCTAAGTAACATGATGCTAAATTCTACTTCTTCAGTTTAATTTAACATAGCAATCGGTGTATTAGAACTTAATTGGAATGTTGTTCTAATCTTGCCCCTCTTGAACTTAAAATATGTTGGCAAGTACAGAATTATGGAACTGATTTTAAAATTACTTATTAATGTTATTTATTACAAAGACTTATTTACAAAGTGCTAATATTAAACTTTCTCATTTTAAAGTATTTTCAAGTTTTGCAGCCAGTGTTTCTAATAAGGCAGAACAAATAGCAATCAAAGAAATTATTATTAGTCATTATGTAAGAAATTAATTTCTTATTCTTTTTCAGATACAAAAAGTTCACTTTCAGGTATACAACGTCTATTAGATCTGCAAACTCTTGCTAAATCACAAGTGATCTTGATGACAAAATTTTCATAGTTTTGACAAAATATATTCAAGCATGGACCTGCTTTTTAAAGTTACTGGTAATAAATTACTAGTAATATTTCCTTGAGAAAATAAGCTTTCCTCATTAAGAGTATTTGCAACTGAAATGTAACTAGCTACACACTATATTTTACTGATTGTCCCCCTTCCATTTGGGTATGGTACTTGGAGGGGAAAGACAAAAGTATTTCATTACAGAAATGATGAACAATGCCATAATCTAGACAAATAGCTCATATTTGGAAACAAAGCAAGAGAAGGCATAAACACATCACTTGTGTGGAGAAGGATGGATTGGCTTCTTTAATTACATTTTGGATCGGGAAACAGTTTCCACTAAAAAAGTTTGGATATTTTCTGATTAAAAACATGGAAACTGCTCAATGTAAATTCCTGGTTTAAAATGCCAGCCCCTGGCTGCTCACTACTGATGTTCCAGCTTCTTATTTGAATGAGATGAGTTTTTATTAGTGGGTTAGCTAAGAATGAAAATACAGCCATGAATTCATTGGCACTGGCAAAATAATTATCCTCTAGAAGATGAGCAAAGACCTACTTGGTGCTGTGTAAATGTGAATTGCAACCCTAATCTCTGTCTAAATAACAGGGTGAAGATGACTTGATGCACGTCTTTTAAGAAACAATTTGTTTCTTTTGTGCATGCTTTCCGCCTTTTTGCTCACTTTGTGACAATTTTGTGATATGTGATCACCTGCCTGCTATGACCGAACAGACTTCTCACTTTTTCATCCTAAGCAGCCTTAGCTGGGTACCAATTTTGGCCTGGGTTTGAACCTCTGTACTCAAAGCAAAGGGTGTAGTTCCCTCAAAGCACACAATTAATAATTCTTAGAAGTGGTACAGCTCAAAGGAGATCAGAGTCAGGATACATTATGTCCCATTAGATAAAGAGATGTGAAGGGATAGCTTGGAACAAGGGGGCCAGAGAAGAGGAGTGGGAGTGACCAAGAGCCTGTTTTTCTACAGTGGTACACGCAGTTCCTTCTGTGTGTTGCAAGACGGATAGACCTTTAGAGGCCATCGGAATCTGGAGGTGCCTCCAGTCATCTCCCCGACTGCTCCTGGCTTATCTGCCAATGATTGCTGCTCCGGAAAAGGGAGCCATTAATCCAGATCAGACTTGTGAATGGTCATTTGTCACCCTGCTGCCTAACTAGCTAAGTTTCCTTTTTAAATGACTAGTTTGTCCAGATCAAGGCTGTGTGTCTCCTTCATTTCCTGACATTGTCATCCATGATACATTCCCTCTCCTGCACACATCTTGACCAGAACTGGAGGGCAGCCGAGACTTAGGCCTCTTTGCCAGGGATGGCTTTATGCAGCGCAGTATCTTTCCTTCTTGGTGGAGAGAGCAGGATGGACCATTTAGGGGCATTTCCTTGGCAAAAATTCAGAGGGGACCAGCTGGTTAGAGTCTTGCTTAGGTGAGAAAGGAGGCAGGACCATTGCTTAGCTTGAAGTATCATGTAATGCTAATTTATAACTGCAGGCTAGGCCACCCTGGTTGCTGCAGGGTTTTTTTCATAGAATCATAGCATAGCAGAGTTGGAAGGGGCCATGCAGGCCATTGAGTCCAACCCCCTGCTTTTTCTCTTTTACGCATGGATGGGATTGTACCTTGAGAGGCGCTTACTTGCACATACCGGCCCGTTCAAGTTGGTAATTTGTGGTAAGTGCACATCAGATTGTTAGAGTAGAATATTTAAGTTTTGTTCTGTTTTATGCCCACCTTCATTCTATGCTTTAAATTCATGGTTCTAAAATCATTACATGCCATGCTTTTTGAAAGAATAACTACAAAACAAACAGAGCCAACTTTCTAGGCTGGTTAATATAAACTGGTATGGCCTCAATGGGAATATATGGTACATATAATGAATAAGTTGTCTCTAATCTGCCTTCCCTTTAAACTGGATGCTTTTTATTTCTGTTGAGGCAAAGGACAGTGCTACCTGTCCTCTCTGAGGTGGCCTTTGCATTTTTGAAGATGTTTATCAAGTTGTCTGTTTGAGAATTTCTGTCAACAATTTAGCAGCCCTCTTGAGAGTTTTGAATAACACTGAATTATTATTAATCATAATTTCTAGCATTTATCTAGTATTAAAAAATAAGTATAGCTGTGGCGATAATGCAGCCTAAAGGTAAAGGAGTTCAGAAAATTAGAGTGAAAATCTCAGGTAGAGAGCAAGAGGGCAGGGGATTAGGATGCTCAAACAACAATCTTATGATTTGGCGCAGGAGCAAACTAATTATGTTTTCAGATGAAGCTCTGTCAAGTACTTCTCGGAATTCCTAAACAAAGATGCTGTTTTTAGTCCTATTGTGGTAGTTTCTTCCTGTTTCTGCTGACCTGATATCACTGTTGCGTTGTGTGTATGTAGACCAATACAGGAAATCGCTGCACAAGGCAATATGAAGACCTCACTTCCTGGTCCGAGACGAGAACACAATGGGATTGAGACAGAAGGGTCATGTGGTCTCGTCTGATATGGGGAAGGGCTTACTGTGGTTAACGGGGCAGGGAATGCAGGACTACGTGCCAAGCAGCCTAAGGCGGGTAGGAATTTGTTGCCTGCTTCTGCAGCGACACGGGAAGCTTGCCTTCCTGCCTGGCTGGAGGCAGCACAATGGGAAGTGGTCACATGACCTTGGAGAGAAGAACCGCATGAGAAATAGACATCCCATGCAAGTGGCGTTGTTTTGTGTACTCGTGTGTGGAACCAGATCCCTTGATTCATGCTAGTTCCTGAGGGATGGAAAAACCCGTGTGGTTTAGCTTAGTGTGTAACTTCCTGCTATTTTGATCAGCAGGGAGGGTGGGAAAATAATTGGCAGATCCCAGGATTTCGCACTGTGATTAACTCTGAACCAAGGACTGTGCTGGTCATTCTCGTATGATGCTAGCTTTCATTTTTACATTGTTTTGGCTATTCTCTGTCTCTGTTTGTTTGCTTGCAATCCAAGCAGATTCCAGAGCGGTCTCGCAATGTCATGCACTGACCGTAGTGTCCACACTCCCCCAGCACCCTGTCATCCCTTCCTCTGTATGAAATGGGTTCACGCAACACAGCAACCCACAGCAGGTTGCGAGCCATGTAAGTGACTTATTGTAAGGTCTGAACCTGGCAGGGGGCATCAGCATGGTTTGTTCAAAAAGGCCACAGAAACCCACCTGCTCCTCATGATCTTTGCCAAACCCTGCCTGGCACTGGTGTGCCAATTTTTGCCAATTTCCCCTTCTCCAGTTCTGTGCTTCATTTGATGGTGACTGGCCTCCTGTCTCCCTTGCGAGCTACGATGTTCCTCTTCCTAGCAGAGCCAAGTGTGCATTGACATGTGATTGACTTACTCCTGGGAAAGTGTGTGCAGAGCCACAATTTGGGACCATGGCAATATGGGAGGGAGGATTTAAGTCCCCCCCACCCCCAGTTGTTATACCGAAATCCAACTTACATAGGTTTTGATACTTCCTCCTCAACTTTTAAGTACCCTGCTGCAAAGAAGGGGAAATTTTAGAATGAAAACAGGAGGGGCGGGGAGCTGAAATCCCCCTTCCCAAATTGCTAGGATCCACATATTGGAGCAGTTACCCAGCAGTAGGCCAAGCACAGATGCACCCATAGCTCTGCTCAGAAGAGGAATATTGTTCATCCTGGTTCAAGAGGCAGTCAAGAAAGCTCTTTTAAGAGTCAAAGGGCAGCCAAAGGATTAAAAAAGAGAAGAGGAAATCAGTCACTTGACTGGGGGTGGCTTTGATACCTTTTGCTAAGAAAACTCCTTGCAAGGGACGGGGAAGGAGAAATGTGAATGAAAGCCATTGGTCTAAGCAGGTGCAGCAAAATGCAGAGGAACTAGGTCTGACTCTTCTGTTTCTCCAAAAGAGTTTTTGCAAGTGGTGATCTGAAGACATGAGGGCTGGTAGCAGAAAAGTTTCCCTCCAGACCTTGCTAAGATGAAACACACCCAGCATGCAAAGTGTATCAGTAGTGGAAAGATGCTGACTTAGCAGAGCCACCAGGACTCCTGAGACAGATGTCAGCAGTAGGCAGGAGAGCTAAGGAAAAAACAAACCATGGCAGGGTACAGCAGACCTGATCATCAATTATTCTACTGTGGCTTATGTTCCGTGTGGGTTCTTGCAACGTACATACTGGCCTATTGACTCTGACCACTGCCCCCCTCAGCTTTAACCTTTGCTAAAAATAATTTTCTAAGAGGTAAATAAAGCATCACTTTACTATTTGTTTTCCAGACGGAATGTGCCAACTATATCAGAGTACTTTATCCTTTAAACCGGACACACCTCTTGGCCTGTGGGACTGGAGCTTTCCACCCAATCTGTGCTCTTGTTTACGTGGGACACCGAGGAGAGGTAAGGAGGGAAGCCTGGGGACACTTCATTCTCTGAGATGTCCTTTTGCTCTTATAAAGCCACTTTTAGCCCACAGTGGAATCTACACCATCTGTGTTCTGCAGTCCAGGATCAAGCCCCTACACTGTTAAATCAAGCTGTAGCATCCTGCTCAGTGGCTTTGGTGGCACTTACTGACCACAGGACTAGTGGTTGGGTACCAGATTGTGATCTCTCTGCTAAATATGTCACTATAAATGCATGATGAGGGAAGGCTGGATGTCAAGGAGATCAAAGCTAGATTGTTCATCTCTTTTGGCAAATGTGCATTATAGGCACAATCCTGGCTTCTTCTCCCAACTCCAGCATGACTGCAAAGAAGAGCTCAGAAGCTTCCATTATCCTTAGCTTAGCATGTTGTCTGAACACTGGTCAAAGCAAACCAGTTTCATAAGCAATGGATTGAAGTTGGCTTATATTTGCGAACCATATTTAAGATTAGCCACAGTTTGTCTGGGTTCAAATGATACAAACCTGCAGTTAATCAAAACCTGAATGCACATGTATGCATAAAATGAATGTTATGTATGCCAACTTCACAGGTCAAACCATCTCAAGACAATTGCCACAAAAAGGGGGTGATACATCTCAGTGTAACATTAATAAAATTACAGTTAAAACAAACAAGTTTAAAGTACAACTGGTTAAAAGCAGCAATCCAAAAACTCTCTAATTGGAAGGCCCAGATAGAGATAAATAGATAATCTGTGGGTGGTGTTTCTTGTTCCCTTCAACCTTCCACTTTCCCTTTCAGTCGTTGCTCATAAATCAATCTGGCCTTTGCAGGAAGGTCATCCAGTTTCACCCTGTAACCCCTCTCACCCAGGCAGATTCAGAAGCTTTTATTGAGTGTGTGAGAGAAAGGGCCCTTTCAGCACAGCCGTTTATCATGAGCAGAAGAGATTATCAGACTGTCCCCCCCCCCCGACCTCCCACACCAAAATCGTATCTGCCGTTCCCTCCCCACCCACCCTCCTTAACGGCGGTATTGAAGTACGCAGCAAAACACACAATCAGGGGCCTGTGTTGCTGCTGTTGCTGCTGCTGCATCAGCTTCTCAGTTGTTTAGCATGTCGTCTTTGCCCGTGCCTCAGTTTGGCATGCAAGCTGCACTGGGGACAGCACTAGGCCTGGGTGTGGGTGGAAAGCCATGGGCTGGATGAAGACCCACAATTAGGCAGCTTGAAGAGGTTGCTTTGTCTGGCCAAGTGGATAACAGGCAGGCAGATGGTCAGAAACTGCACTGGAAGTGTCAGCATCACAAACTAGGGGGTGGATAAAGCAGATTCCCAGCACTGTCTCACATCCGTTCCTTTTAAATGGGCTTTGATGTATGTTGCTTTGAGTTCAAATGGCAAATCTAGAATTCTGGACACTTGGGCCCAAGCTCAAAGGTATACAGCTAACATCTGTACCCTGGGATAGGACTTGAGAGAAACATTTTTAGTAGAACCCAGGTAGGATAACCAGTTATTAATCTGCAAAACGAAGGAGAAATGTATCAGCCACACAGGGCACACAAGACATAAAGAGCACTTGACATTTTTCTGGATAACAAGGTTGGTCGAATCTGTTAAGTGGAAATCTGCAGTTTTTGTCTATCGTATGGAAACATAAAATGTGGGACATTGCACTAATGCAAAAACTTACTAAGCATCTTCTGGTGCAAAGGGGCAAAGGAGAAATTGATACTTCTTTGTACTTATGGAATATAGTATCCATATATGGAATTTGCTAATACAGTGGCTCACAAACTTAATCCATTCCAGGACTCTGGTTGTGACCCAAATTGGTCATGAGCCAAGTTAAATTTCCCCATAAGGTTCAATGTAAATAAGGTTAATCTGTTCTGTAACTAATTTTTTTAATCAGAAAAATGTGAAGCAAAGTGACAAAGAACAACAAAGTTCGCGGTCATCTCCCCCCCATCCTGAGCATGAGTGCGGCACTGGGGGGTGGGGGGTGGCCAAGATTGCGGTTGCGCTCCTGCAGGAAAGACGGGTGTGATCTCGGCCATCTCCCCCTCACCCCTAGCATGATCGTGGCCGCCACCCAATGCGGAGTTCATGACCTGAGTCAATTTTTTAATGAAATTTTTGTTTGCGACTGAGGCGTTCATGAGCTGAGGTACCACTGTACTGAGAAAAATATACAACAGTGGGACTCTATGGAACTCTAAGCTTATTAGATAATATTGCCTCTATAAAAGAGAGATCCTGAATGATCAGGAAGATTAAAGAAATTGACTCTGATGGGGTGTACTTAATTTTTTTTTATTTTATTATTATATTATTATTATAACATTTCTATGCCGCCCCTTGCTGAAACCTCGGGGCGGCTTACAACACGATAAAATACAATGAAATACAATAGCACATAATAAATTACCATTAATTACAAAATACAAAAAATACATTGATTTACAAATATAAGATTAAAATTATCAGTATAAATTAAGTAAATAAAAATATAGGAGGAGAAAGAGAAGGAAGAAGAAGTTGCCCTGGCCAGATCATATGTTTTAACAATTAAAATGATGTTTAAATAAAAAGGTCTTTACCTGGCGCCGAAAATTTGTTACTATTCATTGTTGCTTTGAAAAATATAATTACAAAATTATTAAAAACCTTGGCCCTCCCTATTTCTTTCCTCATTCAGCGTTACATTACTATAGTTTTATCTAGAGAGTATAAATTTTTTTCCTGACACACTGGAGAAATGGCAGGCTGGTTGAGCTGCTGAGCAATCCTAAAAGCTTGGCTGACTCAAAAGGCTTGTCTTGTTCTGGCCAAGTTTGCTCTGTCCAAGTCCAAGCTGTTATCTTCATGCATTTGTCCAGCATTTCCCCTGAAAGGATGACTGAGCTTAGAAAAAGAAGAAGAAGATAGGAAATACCAGCACTGTTCATATTTTATTTGTAGCCAAATTTGAAATAAAGAATATTCTTTATTCCAGGAATGCTCCCGATCCAGAATGATTTTAAATGTATAGACTTTTAAGGTTCATCGACTTTAAAAATGTATACAAGTATTTTTAAACTGACAGCAAGCAGTTCTGGTGAATCCATTCTGGCTGGCATATTCTTCTGACCTGTGCATCTTTCCGTGCTCTCTTCATTCTTGTGCACTCATCATATCGCCTATGAATCAGAGGCAATCCTGTAATCATGGCTTTTGTTAGCTCTAATTTGCCACTTTCTTTTTTTGCTTTTTGTCTTCCCAGCATGTGTTTAACTTGGATCCAACCAGTGTAGAAAGTGGGCGGGGCAGATGTCCACATGAGCCCAATCGGGGATTTGCGAGCGCTTTCATAGGTAGGTACCAAATTACACCACAGTGGGGCTGGTAACCCAATAGCATTGCATCAACAAACATATTCTTTTATTTATTATTGTGTTTTATTTTTATTTATTATTTACAATTTAGAAAACTAAAACATGCAAAGAATTAATGCTACAGAAAATGTAAAAACCCAGTGTTGCTTCAGGCCAGTGATGGTAAAGAAGACAAAAACTTCCTGGCAGGGGCTTTACCTTTTCTAAGGCCTGGGCCACCCTTGCAGTGCCCATTGAAGGGTTTCCTTCCTCAAGTGTGGTGTTCTTAAATTTCCAGTAAAGGTATTTGGAATAATTGTGCCTATTTAGATATAAGGGAGGCATGCCCAGTCTGGACATGCTGTCTGTCTAATGGCATGCTTATAAAACATCTTTCTGTGCTCATCTAGGTTAATTAGGCCTATGAAAAGCACATGGGAAGTTGTCCTCAAAATGCTTCTGAGAGACTGGCGGCAGCTTAATGGATGGAGCACGTTTATTATGGCATAAACTCTTGTGGACTAGAGTCCACTTCCACAAAAGCCTGTGCTTTAATAAATTGATTAGGGTTTAAGATGCCATAGGACTTCCAGTTGTTTTTGATGTAACTGAATAATGTAGCCACCCCTGAGGAAATTCTCAGAAATCATGATACCTTTCCTCCGTTCCCTAGTTTAAAAGTTGGCTATGCTTGTTCTTGGCCTGTGAAGAAAGGAAACGAATAACAGCGCTTGCATGTGCATGTAAGGCATGTCCAAACCCTTTCAAGATTCCTGCACTTGTGTGTTGCCTCATAGACCATAAAGCCTTCCCCTTTCTTCAATAAAAGAGATTTACCTGGCTTTTCCTTGTGGATTTACAGCAGCGCAATTCCCACACTCCCTGAGAATTGGTGTGGTAGGCTTGCCAAGAACGTGAGCTGTGAGCCAAGCAACCCCACGGTTAATTCTTATCCCTGCCATTAATTACCTAGGAGGCTTAAGGCAAGCTCTTCTTTCTTAGCTATTAGCCTCCCATCTGCAGACACCGACCTCCTTACAATAATAATGATGGGTGGAGAGCTCTTTGAATATGCCATTATGCTTTGCAATGTTAAATGTCAGTATTTTTATTCTGTAAGCTCTGGAATGTTGTGCAAGAGTTTATTCTTTCTGTGGGGCTTCTTTCCTAGGTGGAGATTTGTATACTGGGCTAACAGCAGATTTCTTGGGCAGGGACTCTGTCATCTTCCGAACCATGGGGCATCGGTCCTCTCTACGTACTGAGATGGACCAGCGGCTGCTTAACGGTAGGGGACGACCAAGCGATTCATCCTCAGACCAAAGGGTGTATCGTACACTCTTGGGGCCAGGGGAGCGAAGGGGCAAGCGGGGAGGCTTAGCTTTCATTTGGGGCAAAAGATGAAGTACATGTCCCTTCTGCATATTTTAGGCCCTGGAAACATGGCAAAATCTAAAGGGATTTGGAAGATTGGAAGGAGATATTCACACAGTGGTTAATGGGGAAAGAAGAGCTTGCCAGTGGAACAAGGGCCAAAGCATACAATACATAAACTATGTCATGTGCAGCTTACCCTGTCTCTTTTACATATAGATCAGGACCACAGAGCCAGATTGGGACCACAGTGTTCAGGTAGGGGAGGTTTAAACCTTCCCCTGTCAGATGTTTGTTTTCCTAAATCCCTGACACCCCCCACCCCCACACACAGGAAAAATAAGAAAATGGGGAAAAAAGCCTTAATTGGTCTCAGTTGAGGTTTTTTTCCCCTCCTGTTTTTTATCCTGCATATGTGCATGCAGGGTAAATTTAGAAAAAGAAGTGCTTCTACTCCTAGCCACTTAGTTTTGTAAATCCTACTCCTACACACAAACATACATGTACACATACCACAAAAAAGCCTCCATTGCTGCCAGGGAAGCCCTTTTCTCTTGTTTTAGCTCCTAAGCTAAGGGCAGGGGCAAATTTAGGAAAACAAACAGCTGGGAGAGAAAGATGTAAAGCTTCCCTACTGATGTACACTGGTTTGGACCCAAACTGGGGACCCACATGGTTATTTCTGGGTTAAAAATAGAGAGACGGCAAGTTGTATGTGACTTAACATATCGTGCAGTTTAGCCCTGAGAAAGAGATGAGAGGCGGAGTGGAGGTTAGGATTAGAAGGAATTTGTACTTGGAAAATAAGGAAGAAATTGAGGATGTGTCTGTATAACAAATTTTTTGACTATAAAAAGATGAAATAGTATATACTGTCTCTATTGACAGCAGTTCTGTCAACTGTCAGAAGAGAGAGTCTGCTGAGATTTGGTCTTGTGCCAAGCTGTAAACCGCTTCGGGGTTCTTCCTAACATGCCCTTCATCTTTGCACAGCCCCCAAATTTGTCTCTGCCTACCTGATCCCAGACAATGATGATCGGGACAATGACAAGGTCTATTTTTTCTTCACTGAGAAGGCAGTAGAGTCAGACAGCAAAGGGCGTGCCATCTTCAGCCGTGTTGGAAGGATCTGCGTGGTGAGTCTGTGGGACTGTTCTTGTCTGTAAAGTTTGATCAGCATTGTTGTGGGAGCTGAACGTGCGGTGACCCGGACAGATTGCCTTAGAAATTCCTCTGGAGGCTTAGCGTGTAAGAGAATGAGAGAATTCCCTGGCAGTGGCGACAGTGACTCTCAAAGGCATGTAAGGCATGAGGCAGAAGCAGACTGCAGCTCTGGAGGTTCTTTTTAGCCATGGGTAGGCAACCTGTTTTTGGTGGGTGACTAGGAGCTGCACACGCGTGTGCGCACACCCACACACACTCCTTCCCTCTCCATCTGGAACCGGATCACTGGGAGGAGGAAGAGAATTTGTTGATTTTTTAAAATTATTATTTAAAAGATATTTTGGCTGCCTTTCAGGTCTGAAGGCGATGCACAGCTACAAAACACAGAAAACTAATATAATACTAAAAGTGATAAAAACAGTAACAAAGCCAACACCAAAACCATTGGTAAGACAGCAACCACAACTGCAGCGAGAGCATTTATAGTAGGACAAGGCCAGACTGAAAGGACATGTTTTCGACTTTAAGCTTGGTCACGTCCCAGCAATGGAGCTGGATGCTGGCACTGAGGGTAGGGGGATGCTCAGGCCTTCCCCACAACACAGTGCCCTTGCTGTTGACCGCTGGGAAAAGGAGAGACCCTCCCCTAGTGAGCCAGCTTTGTAAGAAAGTGTGTAGGGTTGGCTCTGCTTATGTGGCTTCTTTCCCAGGGCACTCAATTCTGCTAGGAAACATGCCATGCTATGCCTGCATGCTCATTTCCTGGCGGAGTCAGACTTCCTCTAAACAGGTGGAAGCCGGTTTGGCCTGCTGGTGGGAGTGCAGTGCTGTAGGAGAAGAGGGCGTGTGGGTGTGACTCTTCTCACGCACCCTAGGCAGTAAAGGCAGCGTGTATGTGGGGTGGGTATGTACACTGGGGGAGCCACCCTAGCTCTTGGAGGGACTGTTGAACTGGGTCACATGATCCTTGCACAGTGCTTATCAGATGATTTAAAACAGGCATGTTACGGAGTAAAATCCCAGCTGAACAGCTGGAAGCAGCAATCTTGCACTGCTAATCCCGGTAAAGACTTCTAGGGAATCACTCTCCATATATGCTTGATGATCACTTGCTCTTTGAGAGTTAATGAGAATACTGCAGAAATACGGTTTCCTTTTAATGATGCGTATTTCCTACCAACCCCTTTCAGGTGCCTGGTGTCTAGGGGCAAGGGTGTGGTTGCAGAGACTTAATTTGGGGCTTTAGTGATGTTGCATTCTCTTGTACAGAAAAATGAACTGCAAGGGCAGAATCAGTACCCGCCGTCCACAGGTGGCTAGCTTTCCGTGTGGTGGGTGACAACTGGTGCAGACTTGGTTTCAGTGCCCACTGGATTGTATAATCTCATGCAATACTTTACTTCAGGAAATCAACCCAACCCAGTCGAGACATCCCTGCACTAAAAAAGGTCCCTGCCTTGCAGCTTGCCAAAAGGGGCAGATCTGTTTTGAAGTGTGGTGGGGAAAATATTCAGAAATATAGAAACTGAGCTGACCTCTGGAATCAGATTTGCTCCCCATTCCCTTTGCTTCCTGATGTATGGCATAGAAAGTCTCTTGGCACACACGGCATTTCTTGAGCGCTTCAGCCAGGACCTCAACAGCAGTTGTGCCTGGCTGTGGGCTGCATAAATCTCTCATGGCTGCAATTGTTTGTTTTTCAGCCAAAGTTAGGAACATGCATTTTTTTTCCTTTTTGATGATTCTCTTTAATGTGGTTGGCAAAAATAAAAAGGGAAAGGGGAGGGAATCCTCTGGAGCCCTTGAATTCTTCAGCCTTTCATCCAAATGGGAACTCCCCACTCACTTCTAGTTTCAGCCTTCCTTTCTTCCGAAAATGTTCTCTCTTGAGCTGTTTTGAGAGCACTTCCCTCTTGCACAGAGGTGCCGTTAAAGGTTTCCAGCACCAGCTTTATTTCCCTCTCCAGGATCCTCATGTACATCAGCCATGTGTCTTAATCTAACTAAAGATTTGGACTGTGTGGAAATGGACTAGCTGCACAAATCGTAAACCATGAGGAAATTTGCCTTACTCTATAACAAACCCCACTGCATGTATTCACTGATGCAGTTGAAGCAGTAAGTTATTAGCCAAAGTAGAGATCACTTCCTAGATGACATTTTTATGACATACACTCATGGTATCTTATCTGAAAAAACTGAAGCTGAAGACACCCAGAGAGCCTTCACATTGTGTTGTACTTTCTCCATGCTTCTTGACCCTGGTCTTAATGGAGCACTTTCGTATTCGTGTTTTAGAGAGTCCTTTAATGGCATTCTTCCATAGGAGGAAGCACAGGCCTCTGCGTACACATCAGCACTGAGAATCCATGCTCTTCCCTGAGATTTAAGGTATCTCTCTCCCTTTTCCCATGTCCAGACTGCTTTCAAAGTGGCTATTATTATTTGCATCTATAAACTCACCTTTTTTTCCTCTTTCAAGAAGCCCAAGGCCTTTTACATGATCCTCCTCCTCTTATTTTACACCTGCTACAACAACCCTATGAGCAGAGCCGCCTTGTGACTATTCCCAAGGCACTGAGTAAGCAAGCTGCATGGCTGAGCAGGGACTGGAACCCGAACCTCATGATTCCCAGCTCAGCACTCAGACCACTGGCTTTCCCATAGTTTCCCCAGCAGGATACAGAGAAGTTTTTATTAGTTGCATGGAGGGGCTGGGGTTTTATCCCTAACACAAAATGCTGCTTTAATTATGTTGACTCGATCCACTGGGTATTTTCAGGTAGGAGATACAAGGTAAGCACTTATTTCTCTTACAACATGTAACATGCAAAGTGCTCCTTATATTCAGAAGTTCCTGGGTTTTTTTTAAGTGCTAGAAGAGCAGGCTGTTTCCACACAGGGGCACATTACAGTCATTTGAATAAGCTCTCTCTCTCTCTCTCTTGCTCTCTTTTTAAACCAGAAATAAAAGCTTTGTGAGTGAGGGCAGTCGGAATTGGGACCATGGCTGCCTTTTGGAGTTTAAAGAGGCATGTGTGACATTAAATGAGTTTCAGCATTTAAGCTGGTGTGTCATCGTGGTTAGAAGGTTGAACTGAGAATGGGAAAATCCAGTTTCTAGTTCCATCTTGGCCATGTAGCTCACTGGGTCAGTTTAGGCCAGTGGCTGACTCCCAGCCTACCTTACCTCACCTCACAGGGATGATATGAAGAGGGGGATGACCATTTAAGCCACCTTGAGTGCCCTGAAGGAGGGGAAAAGGTGGGATATAAACGTTGTCACCATCATGTTTAGCTAGGACCACAGATTTTTATTCAGTGAGGCTGTATGTTCTTAGTCTTCTGCTTTTATAGTTTGGCTTTGTCTGTGCGATTATCTTATTTCCCCTACTTTTCCTGAGTCTTCTGAATCAGGTCAACGTTTAGGAAGAGTGAGGGGTCCTTCAGGAGAGACTGGTGCCTCCTATGTCAGTGAGCTCTCCCAGTGGTCCTCATCAATTTTAGCTTTTCTTTTGCACATTATAGCAGCTATCCAAGGAGCTAAACATCCAAAAACAGTTCACCACCATGGAGTTCCATGGATAGCTTCCAACAACCTGAAAATCAGTGATGGGTCCCACTGGTGAGGAAATCATCATCTTCCTCTGGGGGCATCCTTCCATGTTTTGGAACAGGACTGGGCAGAATTCAGGCTCACCAGATCTGCCTTTTTATACCAGGGCTCTGGTTCCACCAACCAGAGCCTGGTGCAAAAGACATACACTTGATATTACAGAAGGCAGAGCCCAAGAGTGTGTTTCAAGTGACACAACTCGAATGGAACCCACAGTCCTTCCACACAGACTCCATTCTCGGTTCTTTCATTTCAGTAGTGTAATTGAAGCTGGGGGGCTGAGGGGAGGAATCATTTTGCTGCTGCTGCTGCTTTCAAACACATGGGAATCAGAAATCATTACTGATGTACTGGAAATCTCCTGGAGGCCTGTGAATAGATTCAGATCTACTTTAGATAATTGGTGGTTATTCCTTATGAGCACTTACATTCTGACCACCTTACTGATTCTGCACATGACTGTTAAAAGCAATGAAGGACAACATGCTGTGCATGTTTCTACAGAAAAAATGGCTACAACTCCCAAGCATCGGGCATTGTAAGACTTGTTTTCTGTCTAAACATGTACAAGATTGTGCAATCCTGTGGTTTCTGTACACTGCCTGGATTGCCACAGAATAATTGGAATCCAGTTCTGACCTTGGAGAAGTACTCCAAGTTTGGAGGTAGGACTCCAAATTGGGAGCATCCTCCCTCTGTCCTTGCAGCCAGCATGGTTTCCTCTGCACCAACTGCAGCTTGAAGGTCACCTGACAGACCTTGGAGCTAGTAATGGGGGACAGGGAGGGGAGGGACAAAGCTCTGCCCTCCTATCAGGAGCCTTGGGATGTCTGTAGCTCCTCTTGTCATGAGCAAGTGGAGCACCCAACCAATCCTCTCTGCAATGCTTCTCCCACCTTCCATTGGTCACTTGAATGCCCCCAGGTAATTGGATGGCACACTACACGGCCATCTGGGGAGTAATGGTTGACTGCCACTGACCCAGGGAAGGTTGATTAGGAGGTGTTTTTGCAAAAGTTACAGCAGCAAGAGCCCTTTTGCAGCTTAATGTTGAAAAGTAGGTCTTTGAATCGTAAGAATAAACTTACTCCCCTCTGTCAGAAACAGTCCTCCTGCCCAGAATGATTTAGCCCTTCTTGTGACAATCCATGGCATTGGAAAATGGTCATCAGGATGCTTCCATGTTGTTCGCCACTGCTTAACAACGTTTGGGAGTGTTGAAGTGGCAGGAAGAAAGCATTTGCTGTAGTTCAGTGAGATCCCGGTGACTTGTTTTCCTGAACGATGGATGGCCATGAGCACAGAAAAGGTGAACAACCATGAACCATAAAGCAACATAGTTCAGGCTAACGAATG